ACTTCCCATAGGCTCCCTGTGCAACGTGGAAATCAACGAGTGTGCTTCCAGCCCTTGCGCCGAGGGAGGCTCCTGTGTGGACGGAGACAACGGCTTCCGCTGCCTGTGCCCCCCGGGATCCTTGCCGCCGCTCTGCCTCCCGCTCAGCCACCCCTGTGCCCATGAGCCTTGCAGTAGTCACGGCGTTTGCCATGATGCACCCAGCGGGTGAGGCCTTTCCCCAGCCCTCAGTCTCCCCGCTTCCTGCTTCCTGGGCCCACCTGATCCCCCGATGCCTCCTGCCAGGTTCCGCTGTGTGTGTGAGCCTGGCTGGAGTGGCCCCAGGTGTGGCCAGAGCCTCCCCCATGATGCCTGTGAGTCCCAGCCCTGCAGGGCCGGTGGCACCTGCACCAGTGATGGAGGCAGTTTCCACTGCACCTGCCCTCCTGGTGCCCAGGGTATGTGACCCCCTTCCTTCCTGCGATGTCCCGCTCTTTTTCTTGCCTCTCCTCCTAGGTAGTGTTCACCTCGTGTCCCTTTGCCCTGCCCCTTATGAACTTGGGGGTGGGTAGATCAGAAGGGGGTTGGGAACACCGCAGTCTCTGTTCCCCCCCACAGGCCGCCAGTGTGAGCTGAGGACCCCCTGTACCCCGAACCCTTGTGAGAATGGGGGCCGCTGTGAGTCTGCCCCTGGCCAGCTGGCTGTCTGCTCCTGCCCCCTGGGCTGGCAAGGTATACCGGCTGCTGCTCCCTTCCCTCCAGCACCACAGCTGATGGTTCTTACCTGTGCCTAGCTCAGCCCCAGGCACCCTCCGAGCCAGCACCGCTAACCCTAGGTGCCTCCTTACCCCATCACCCCAGGCCCACAATGTCAGCAAGACGTGGATGAGTGTGTGGACCCCTCACTGTGTGGCCCCCATGGCACCTGTACCAACCTGCCGGGCACTTTCAGCTGCACCTGCCACGGAGGGTACAGCGGCCCTTCCTGTGATCAGGACATCGATGACTGCGACCCCAGTGAGTGTAGGGGTGTTCCTGGGGGCGCTGCCTGATTTAGGGAGCACGTGCCCCAAGCTTGTCCTTTGTGTCTGACACTGAGACCCAGAGAGATCGAATGATTAGCCCAAAGACACACGCAATGTAAGGAGATGGATGAACTGGTGCGGGAGCACAGGCCTCCAGGGGTTATCAGAGCCCCAGGCTTTTCTTTGAGGCACCCCTGGGTGCATCTGCACCACCCACCTTTGGGTTGGTAGTCCAGCGCGTTAATCCTTCCCAACCACCAGGAACTTTCCGGAGGGATCCCAGGGGCTGGCTTTTCTCGGAAAAAGATTGGGAGACATTTCTTCAGAGGCACCTCTGGGTGGGCTCAAACCTCCAGCCTTTCAGTTAGCAGTGGCGCCAGTCAACTGTGTGCACCACTGAGGGCCTTCTGAGGCCAGAACTGGAGCCCTCTGAGCAAATATGAAGGAGCACCCCTGGCGTAAAGTGTTACCCACTTGGCTGCTAGTCACAAGGTGGCTCTGAGGGAGAAAGGTGAGGCTTTCTGCTTCTGTAAAGTTACAGCCTGCGAACCCCACAGGGGCAGGTCTACCCAGTCCTATAGGTTTGCTGTGAGATGGAATTGACTCAAGGCAAATAAGTGTGGGTTTTTCGGTTTGGTCCAATGCAGCCCAGCCCGGTGGAGCCTGGTTCCCTCCGGTGCACAGCATAGTTAGGGAGAATCTGGGCTGATGGGGGACGAGGCAAGGGACCAGTCCACTACTGCCACCTTTCTGCCCGTAGACCCATGCCTCAACGGCGGTTGGTGTCAGGACGGTGTGGACTCCTTTACCTGCTCCTGCCTCCCTGGCTTTGCTGGCCCGCTCTGCACCCGCGATGTGGACGAGTGTCTGAGCAGCCCCTGCGGCCCAGGCACCTGCACGGACCACGTGGCCTCCTTCACTTGCACCTGCCCTCCAGGCTATGGGGGCCTTCACTGTGAACAGGACCTGCCCGACTGCAGCCCCAGGTGGGTGGGGCCCAGAGCGAGGCCCTTCTGGGTGGGGCTGGGCTGGGGGAATAGGCCTCTATGGGAGCTCATGGATGGGCCGGGCTGGAGGTAGGTCTTTATTGGAGCTGATGGATAGGGTGAGGTTAATGATAGGGTTCCAGATGGGGTGGGGCTGGGAAAAGGGGGCGGGAAAATGTGGAAATCTGTTGGGGCCCTCCTAGCCTGGGGACTCTTTGAAGCACTTGGCTGTTAGCTGGGAGCTTTGCCAGCTGCTGCGTGAAGCCAGCTGCCATTCCGTGGCAGAAAGATGTGTCAGTGTGATTTCAGAAAAAAAAGTGGCTTTGGAGACCCGTGTAGGGTCGCTATGAGTGGGGGCCAACTCGTTGGCAGTGAGCTTGGCGCTTGGAGTATGGGGCAGTTCAGTTATGCCCTATGGGGTCTCTATGGGTCGGAATTGACTCGATGCCAGTGGGTGCGGCTTTAGATTCTGGGGAGCCCTGGTGGTGTTGTCGGGTAAAGGTTGGACAGCTAACTGCAAGCCACGGAAGCAAGGGAGAAAGATAAGGCTGTTTGCTCCCGCAGCGCTTTACAAAGCCTCAGGCACCCTCTAGAGAGTGTAGGGCTACTTTCGATCAGAACTGATTGAAGGCAGTGGGGCTGGTTTTGGATCCTGGGCGTCTGATGCCTGATGGAGCTGGGCTAGGGAAGAGGTGGTACAGTTTGGAAAGCCATCTTGAGGGTGGGGTCTAGGACGGGGTGGAGCATCCACATAGCTCCTACGTTAGCAATGAAATACTGAATAAGTTGGACTCAGGAAAAGGAGGGTCGTTCCTCATGGGTGGGGGGAGCCCAGAGTGGGCTAAGTCCCCACCCTAGGAGGGGCCAAGGAGGGAGTGTGTGCATGCGGTGGCCACCTTCTCATGGTGGTCCGAGCAGGAGGGGTGGGGCCTGTAACTTTCTCTTCCCCTCCCCAGCTCCTGTTTCAATGGAGGCACCTGCGTAGACGGCGTGAACTCATTCAGTTGCTTGTGCCGCCCTGGCTACACAGGTGCCCACTGCCAACACGAGGCAGATCGCTGCCTGTCAAGGCCCTGTCTGAACGGGGGTGTCTGCAGTCCCACCCCCTCTGGCTTCCACTGCACCTGCCCGCAGGCCTTCACTGGCAGCCAGTGCCAGGTGGGCAGGTCACTGAGGGTCTCGGGAAGGGAGCCGACCCCGAAGCAGGGGGGTGGGGGCGTGGGAAAGAGGAATGCCTGCGGGGAGGAGCCCGAGGGTCACTAGGGAGAGGGATCTGCTGAGACCTTGAGGACTGAACCCGAAACTGCAGCTTCTAGAGGGTTCTCTCAATGGTGACAGTCTGGTCTCCCCACTCCAGACGCTGGTGGATTGGTGCAGCCGTGCACCCTGTCAGAACGGGGGTAGCTGCACCCAGACCGGGACCTCCTTCTATTGCCTTTGCCCCCCAGGGTGGGGCGGCCGCCTGTGCGACGTTCGGAGCCTGCCTTGCAGGGAAGCTGCAGCTCAGATCGGTGAGGGGCTTGGGAGGGTGCGTGCACACACCTCTGGATAGTTTCCACTGCACCTGCCCCCCAGGTTACACTGGCCTGCGCTGCGAGGCCGACATCAATGAGTGCCGCCCGGGGACCTGCCACTCGGCGCACACCCGGGACTGCCTGCAGGATCCAGGGGGCAGCTTCCGCTGCCTTTGCCATGCGGGCTTCACAGGTAGGCATGAGAGAGGGGCGGAGCTGGGACCCTGCCTGTCAGCGGCTCGTTCTGTCTGATCCGCCCGTACCTGACTTGCCCAGGTCCCCGCTGTCAGACTGTGCAGTCTCCCTGTGAGTCCCAGCCATGCCAGCACGGGGGCCAGTGCCGCCCCAGCCCGGGCTCTGGAGGTGCGCTGACCTTCGCTTGTCACTGCATCCCGGTAGGTGTGGGTGGGAGTTTGGGGGTGGGGTGGGGCGTGGCCTCCAGAGGGCGTGCCTTTAGAGGAGGGGAAGAACTTCCTGGTACCTGCTTGGAGGGTGTGGGTGTGGGCCTGCGTGCCCTGAAGCCTTGGTGGTGGTCATAAGCTTTGGACTGCTCACCAGAAGTTCAGTGGTTCAAGCCCATTAGCTGAAAGTTGAAGCTGTCTGCTCCCATAGATATGCAGCGTCGGAAACCCTATATAGAGGGAGAGATGAGGCCTTTTGCTCCTGCAAAGATCGACAGCTTTGGAACTGACTCCCCGGTACCTCGCGCAGCAACCACGCGCATAAAACCAAACCCGCCCGGTTGCTGTCCTGTCGGCCTCATCCACAGCCATAGTGCTCAGGAGCCCAGCGCCTGGTTGGGAGCACGTAATTCAATACATAACAGTGACCGAGCTGGTGCGAGTTGGGATGTGTGCATGTACATGTGACTGACGCTGTGCCAGCCGGGGGACAGTGAGAGAACTTTGACGAATTGCCATGACTCAGGCCTGCAGAAATGTGTGTGTGCGCATATGTGCGCGAGTGTGAAATTTCGATGATGCCAATGAGGGAGCTGTGGGACCACCTTGGGGAGACTTCATCTGGGACGCTGGGTGGTACCGTGGGTGATGCCAGCGGGGTGTGTGTGCATGGTCAAGGCCATGTCCGTATGGGTGCGTGAGACAACCTTGATGACATCTCAGTAGGGATGCCAGATGATATGTTCTATGCCATGCTGGCGCACGCGCGCGTGCGTGCGTGCGTGCGTGCGTGCGTGCGTGTGTGTGTGTGTGTGTGTGTGACTGAGCCTCTGCCATCTGGGGGATGTCTTGGGTGATGTCAGGGACACGGGGCATGTGTGGCTGCCTCCGTGTCTGATGTCACCTTCCTCTGCCCAGGCGTACGTTTGGAGCAGCTGTGCCAGGCGGGCGGGCAGTGTGTGGACGAGGGCAGCACCCATTACTGCTTGTGCCCGGACGGTCGAACAGGCAGCCACTGTGAGCAGGAGGTTGACCCCTGCCTGGCCCAGCCCTGCCAGCATGGGGGCTCAATGAAATACTGAATAAGTTGGACTCAGGAAAAGGAGGGTCGTTCCTCATGGGTGGGGGTAGCCCAGAGTGGGCTAAGTCCCCACCCTAGGAGGGGCCAAGGAGGGAGTGTGTGCATGCGGTGGCCGCCTTCTCACGGTGGTCCGAGTAGGAGGGGTGGGGCCTGTAACTTTCTCTTCCCCTCCCCAGCTCCTGTTTCAACGGAGGCACCTGCGTAGACGGCGTGAACTCGTTCAGTTGCTTGTGCCGCCCTGGCTACACAGGTGCCCACTGCCAACACGAGGCAGATCGCTGCCTGTCAAGGCCCTGTCTGAATGGGGGTGTCTGCAGTCCCACCCCCTCTGGCTTCCACTGCACCTGCCCGCAGGCCTTCACTG